AGCCAATTACATTAAAAAAATGTAATGTGTGCATTTAAATTTTTTAGATTAATTATGTCTGAATATCTTAAATCATCATAATTAATTTATTATACAGTACCTTAATTTTTTTATTCTTTTTATATGAAATGAAAGTAGTTTTAGGTTAAACTAGGTTTACCTGAATTTTTAGTATTTTCATTTAGTCATATAAGTATTAATTTTTGTAATTACATTTATGTTTTAAATAAAATGCTTTATGGAATAAATCAATTTTGATCTCGGATTAATTTGATTTACGTCAATTAAACACAAAAACCACACTGAGTTTCAACCGCATCTCAGCAGGAAATATTAGTCAAAAAGTGTTTCTTGATGATGTCAGTCTAATTGACGAAAAGCGTGTCAGGTAGGTATATGAAAAATAGGCACGTACGTCGTACAGTGTTTCGTAAGGAATGAACTATATTAATATTTTGTTAAATAACATTGGGTCAAATGTTATCTAATTCTGAGATACAGAGTGTTAAAGTTAAAATTTATTTTGAGTTTTTTTTGCAATATTTTCGTTACTATATTTATCGTATTGACTTGAAATTGGGTATGGTTATATTTTAGGGCTATTATAAGCATGTCATTAAATTTGAGTACAGACAAATAGGGCACTACCCACACTTTACTGGATGTAGAATTTTTTTTTTATTTTTGACATTTCTACATTTTTTCAAGTCTTTATGGTACACCCTGTAAATTTGAACAAAAACATAAACTTGTTTTAATAGCGAAAATTCAACCAATTTTGAAAAATGTAGAGCTGTCAAATAATGAGTTATAGGTTTTTGTTCAAATTTACAGGGTTTACCATAAAGACTTGAAACAAGTTTAGAATTTCCAAGAATAAAAAAATTAAGTTTTTTTATCCAGCAGAGTGTAGTTCTTTGTTTAATCTCAAAATTGATAACATGCTTATGATTTACTAGCCTAAAAATATAACCTTACCCTATTTCAAGTCAATTCGTTAAATAATAACGAAAATATTGCAAAACAACCTAAGAATAAATTTTAACTTTAACACTCCATATCTCAGAAGTTTATCTACGTTTTGACTCAGTGTTATTATGCAAAATATTAATATTTAGAGGTCCTGAACCCATGGTTACAATATTTACCATTCTTTATGAAATACCCTGTATAGAGCAGTTTTTTGTGTGAATTTGTTATGTATATTATCAGAGACAACCCAGCGAGACGTGTAATGTATTTTGTTTGTTCGGTAAAAGTAGTTTGGGCGATTGTAACCACTAGTAAATAGCGGGAAAATTAAAAATGCTTTAGGGCGGGAAATTCAGATTCAGAAATAAATAGTTTTTCTATACAAATTTAGAGGAGAAACAAAAACCATTGTTTCACTGTATATTAAACAATATAAAAGCTTCCAATAACATGAAATTTTTATGATATAAATAACCATTTTAATAAAGGAAGTTTTAATCAGTTTAATATAAGCAGTGAACATAGTTTTTATTACTTTTGTAAATTTCGCTAAAAAAAACTTGAAAATTCTATTGATAATTAAATATTTAAACTTGGAAAAATAAAAAACCAAACTCTTTTTCTATAAATTATATTTTTGTATGGTAAAGAAAAACAAACTACAATTGCTACGTTTAGAAAGTACCTCGTATCATTTTGTGACAAATTACAAAGAAAGTCACAATTGTTATATATTTATAATATATTTAAAAAATATTTTATAAAGAGTATATTGATACCTTTTTGCCAGACTATCATAAGTGCCATTTGAACAAATGTCGCTTACGTTAGTCTGACAAAAAGGTATCGATATGTTGACTGTTTATTTTAATAGAAACCACGGAAACGAAACAAACACACACATATACTCGCACAAATGTATAACGTCCGAGTCGAGTAAGTTCCCATTCTGTAAACTGGATCGAAACCTGCTAGACCCATTCCGTACACCCCCTGCTAACTCCTCTTAGGTTCATCAAGATCAATAGATTGCCTTCTAAAAATGAATGAAGGATCATTTAAACAGAAAGTTGCTGAAGGCTTACCCCTGTTATGTCGTCTGTTTGTGTATCTTGTGCGTCTGCATTCCTGTTGTGTAAAAGTTTTCCTAGTCTCCTAATTTGGTGACTAGGTGGACCTTCTCCAACTGGTCGTCTAATCTATTCGATCTGCTCTGCAGCAGGAGGTACTTTTCAAATATAGCAAATAATATTAATAATAAACACTATTTAAAGATGAATACATTTTTGTTATTTTTTTGTCGTTGTCCCTAACCAGGGTATACCTATTTTCCATACTCCCTTAATTATAGATTACCTTACGATGTTTGAATAAATTTTTTACCCATGAAAAATCTAATTTCGAATTTAACTCTTTTTCAATTTAATTTGAAACAATTGGTATGTTATTATCAAGGAAATCTTCTAATAAAGTTATAGCAGATCCTACTTAAACTACTGGTTGTTCTGCAGCATAAATTACCTTTTCTTGAGATTGATCTCTCTCTAAAATCCAAAACCGACCTGATGTCACCAAATTTATTTTTCAATGCATCCTGATTTAAAATTCTGCCCTTTAGTGATTCAATTTTTTTTTTTTGTTTAAATGACTACAATCTTCTAATAGCCACTAGAGTCGCTATTAGAGGTAGGTGTACGTAAAAAATAGCCGATCTCTAATCATTTTAAAAGTCCTTTGCCAATACTACATGTGCAGAGATTTTTTACTCAGCATACATTTAACTTTTCTAGTAGGTGGTAACTTTGTGCTGCCATTAAAGCTGTCCAGACATTCATCTACCTACTTAATGAACAAAAGAAGCTGTAACAATGGATCTCTGTTCCAATTCACCTAAAATAATTATAGCCATTTTGTAATATATTATTAAACACACACATTATACAGTGGTTTTCTTAATAAATTGGAAATTACTTACCTCTAGAAAGAAACGTGTACAACATCGCGAGTTTAGTTTCAGAAATTGCTTCATGCAAAAAATAATATGTGAAAATAAACATTCCCCCCAAAGAAAATTAATTAAACAACAAAATCAGACTCAAAGAAATAAACGGGGCCCAAATTAAATTAATTTTAATAAAATGCACACGTTCATAACAACATTCATAACATTGTTAGTTGTCAGTTCTAATTTATACGTCGACGTCAAAAAACCAGCAACATCAGCAACCTCTAAGATTGGTGTTAGTTTTATTGGAGAGAGATAAATATATGTAAAGATCAATGTAAAAGAGAAAGAAAGTCATATATGTAATTTAAATGCACCACCGAACAAATTTTCCTATTATGTTACACGTCTCTGTTGTCTCTGATATTATGCATTTCTGTAGCAATTCTCCGGCATCTGTCAATGATAGGTGACTGTATACTACATGTATTATAAAAGCACTATAGATGAAAAATACAAAACATCTTAAGAGTACTTTTCCAGTACTAAATTGATAATATTCCTGTGTGCTTTTAAAGCACTTTTCCAGCATTTGCAAGTGACGGGAAATTGTATATCAGAAAAACTTCGGGCAAATGCTGTACTGTTCACATCTATTGTGCCAGTGTTGGGCCATTAAATGTGCATTTGCTATGTGCTTTTCATTATAGTAAATTTTGTAATCCTTAAATAGTCCAGGGCATTTAGATAAAAATCGACCGGAATAGCGGAAATTTTTTAGGGACACACATATCGAGATGCGGTTTTCTGCATTATGTTCAGGAAGGTCCCAGAAAAAAGGCTATATCGTCTGGTTTAGCCATTTTTTTGAAAAATGCCTTCTGAGCGGCTAGGCCCGAAAATGCATTTTCCAATTGCATCAATACTTGCACCATTATAGTAACGACTGGAAACTCGGAAAAATCGCTCGGAAATCGTTACTCTGGGGTATTCGGGGCTACTGAATACGATTCTGGCATTAGAATTAGCCAGGGGTGCACGTGCAATTAGCCGGGGGGGGGGGGGGGGGGGGGGGGGGGTGCGCGTGGGATGAATTGGAGAGAAATGGCAGCGTGCATAAAAATCACTCTAAACTCGTGAGGAAGTATCCGGGGGTCATTCTGGGGGGGGGGGGAAATTGCATAGTCCATGGGAAGCGCACCCCGAAAACACCCCGTGTAACCATTTTGGAGATTTCGGAGTGATTTTCGTGGACGATGCCATTTCCCCCCTAATCGCCCCTAGACAACCCCATAGAGCCACCCCTGAGCGCCCCCGGGGAAATCTAATGCTAGAATTAAATTCGGCATCCCCGAAAACCCCCGAGTAACGAGTTTGGATCGCTTTCCATGGACTATGCAATCCCCCCCCCCCTCCCAGAATTACCCCCCGGATACCCCCGCAGAGCCGTTCTCAAGTGGCCCCGGGTAATTCCAATGCCAGAATTGAATTCGGCATCCCCGAAAACCCCCAAGTAACGAGTTTGGAGCAATTTTTATGCACGCTGCCATTTCTTCCCAATTCACCCCTCGCGCACCCCCACAGAGTCACTCCCGGGTAATTCTAATGCCAGAATCGAGTTCGGCAGCCCCAAAAACCTTACGATTTCCGAGCGATTTTTCCGAGTTTCCAGTCGTTCCTATAATGGTTTAATTGGAAAATGCATTTTCCGGCCCAGAAGGCATTTTTCAAAAAATGGCTAAATCAGACAATATAGACTTTTTTCCTGGGACCTTCCTAAACACAATGCAGAAAACTGCATTTCGATATCTGCTGTCCCTAAAAATTTCCGCTATTTTTCCTAACTACCCTGGACTATAAAATACATATAAATAAATCTACATTTTTTATTTTGCATGTATCTAAAAAAAATTACTAGCTATAATATTTGGCAAAATCTTAAATTGTTTTATAAAAATATAAATTTCATCAAAAATGATATACTACACACATTATTCTGAAAAATATTAAAATAATTTGAAATATAACTCTGAAAAAATTTGAACAATATTAGGTATTTGCGTATAATCAAATCACCACTTACAGCTCTTTTATCTTCAACCTTCTTAGCGATCTCCTGTAAGGAGGTCTTCATTTCAATCTTCGATCCATCTTCACTAGAATCCGATTGACAGTCCGACACACTAGATAACGACACTTGTGATGTTTTCCGCAATACTTTTCCCGCCAAACAACTACCACTATTATTGTTTATTTCTGAATTGATTTTCACATCCACATTGCTCATTTTAAATATAACGGTAAAAAAAATCGATGCGATTTATGTAATTTTTGATTCGCCTCGTATAGACAGCGAATGGTTGTCTAACTAGTGTTATACGTGGTTCAATTTCGTGGAGAGAATGTACGGTTGCTTTAGAATGAAGTTACTTTTACTCCCACTTTTCGAATTTGCCAGCGCTCAGCTGTTTATTATTGTCTCCAAAAGTTGCACAAGGCAAGGAAACCCGTGTAATGTAGTGTATAAACACTAAACAGTTGAGATTTAATAAGAATCATTATTTATTAATCGATTATGTAAAGTAAGGTGAAACGATAAACAAAATATAAAAATTCTATGCGGAATGTTTATATTTTTTCGTTTCAAGGATAGTTTGTCTTTTCGAACTAAAATATCGCAAATTCTTTAAAAATTTGTAAGCTTGATTTCTTTGTAGTCCAGTGTTTGAAGGTAGAAATGGGTTTTATTACCTCCGGACTACACTGATTTTGAAGAAAATTTGAAACTAAGATTACCTTACCCTTCTCTTCAAAATTTATATGTTCTTAACATGAATTTTATTTTTAGGGATTGAAAACTACCCTTATTAACAAAAAAATTAAAAAACCACTTATTTAAGATTTGCTCTGATTAAAATAATGTTTAAATAATAAAAATAAAATCTTTTTTCTACTACCGTGCGTAAAGTACGTACTTTACGAACTCCACGAAGTGTGTAAAGTTGTACTTTTTTTCACTAGTGCGTAAAGTAAAACTCTTTACGCACTAGTTAAAAAAAAGTAAAATTTGACAAAATTTGTACATAACAACAAAATATAACGTTTTATTTTATATTAACATTTTTTTGCTATCTCCTTCTAAGACAAATAAATAAATTATTTTTGCTTATATCTATTTAGTGTCCAACAAATTATCAACAGTTTATTTTAATTATAATTTTCTCTGAATGTCATCGATTTAATTAAAAGTAAACATACAGTGGATGTCGATTTTGGTAAAAGTAAGTTGGCCGTGGCTGTGTGGATTAGAGGAACTGTCAATCTCTAAACTTTTAATTAGTACCTACCTTATAACAGAACACGACAAAAGTATACTTAAGTTCAAGATTAGATTCTAAAGCCAATTTAGCATTTTTTTAAACTCAATCAAGTTTGAGAAGGTAAAAAGTTTTACTTTTTAATGTTTGTTTACTTAAATTCAAATATTATTTGCAGTTTATTATATCTGTCATAATCGATATGGATTCAAATTTATCTAGCGATAGCGAATTTGATAATACTCCCCCAGATATCTTATGCAGTGCACAAAAGGCCACTGAAAATTTATTGCCAGAAAAATCTGCATATATTTATCAGCAAAAATACAATGCATTTATAGAATGGTGTAGGAAGAATAAGGTGACAAAATATTCGGAAAACGTTATTTTAGCATATTTCTCTGATGAATTGAAGAATTGCAAAGCTTCTACCCTATGGTCGATTTATTCTATGCTTAAAAGCACCTTAAAATATAAAAACAACGTTGATATTTCGAAATTCAACAAGTTAATAGCGTTTCTAAAACAAAAAAATAAAGGTTATAAACCAAAAAAATCCAAAATTTTTAAACGAGAAGATCTAATTAATTTTCTGTTGAAAGCTCCAGATTCCAAGTTTTCAATGATCAAAGTAAGTAAATGCCTCAGTAAATGCTTGAATGCTCAGTATAAAATTAAAATATTCTGTAAAGTTTTGCAACGAGATGTGTGTTCGTATGGTGTGTTGCCTAACAAAATCAGTTGCTGTCCTAACAGGCCACCGGGGTTGTTAGGCAGCACATTATACCTAAAACTTTTATATTTTTTACAATAGCATTTATTTGGAGTTTTACATGCGCAACGTCAAGATATTTCCTAATGTTTAATAAATTATTTGTAACATTACAATATGTTATTTTTTAGGTAGCCTTTATAATTGGAATTGCGGGAGCTTGTCGCCGGGAAGAATTATGTAAAATGACAATTAACGATGTGGAAGATAAACAAACAGTGTATATTGTCAAAGTATCAGAAACCAAAAATGGAATAGAACGCATTTTTACGATTTTAAATCCAAATAATTCTGCAGTTGATTATTTATCTTTCATAAAAAAATATACCTCATTAAGACCATCAAATATAAATTGTAACAGATTTTTTTTTTAAATTCGCAAATGGAAAATATTCTAAACAGTCTGTAGGGATAAATACTTTTGGTAAAATGCCAAGTGTTATAGCAACGTATCTAAACTTGCCCAATCCAACGGCTTTTACAGGACACTGCTTTAGGAGGTCTTCAGCCACTATTCTGGCAAATTCTGGAGGAGACCTTCTAACGGTCAAAAAACATGGAGGATGAAAATCATCTGCTATTGCAGAAGGCTACGTAGACAGCACAATAACACAAAAAAACAAAATTTCTAATAAAATTTTGATGGATGACAGTATGCCATCCACTTCCAAACAAAGCTACAATTTTACCGTTGACAACTCTAATGAAGAATTAGTGGAACCACTCGACAGTGAAACTAGAGTTACACAAAATATTTCAACCTCTTTACTTGAAAAGGCCAAATCCATACCACTCGAAGCTCAAAATAGGGTTACAGAAATAATATCACAACATTTTTCAAACTCTGTGCTGGAAAAGGACAAAACCTTAAGTTTTGATAATTGCAATAATTGCACATTCAATATTAATATTCATAAGAGTTAAAAACTTATTTTTTTAAATATTTCTTCATTTGTTAGTCAGTTTGTTCTGTAAGAATTATAAATTTGTAAAGTTCCAATAAATTTATTTTTGTTGCTGTGTACAATTTTTGGCACATTTTACTTTTTTTCACTAGTGCGTAAAGTAAAGTACTTTTTTTCACTAGTGAAAAAAAGTAACTTTTATATTTCTAATATTAGTGGATTATGTGTACGGTAGTAGAAAAAATATTGTATGCCACTCGTGTGTAAAGTCCCTTTTTTGACTCATGTGATTCATTCGTCAAAAAAGGGTAACTTTACACACTTGTTGCATAAATAACTATTATAACAAGATATTTTATTTTCGAAATATAAATTTAAATGGCTTATTTACAGGTTACTCTTGGGTGACTTGGGGATCTTGGAGAGGGATGGGTAAATACGGATTCATTGAATATCCTCAGATTTCTACTTTTGCCGTATTTTCTCATCCTCCGTTCTGCTTCTGTCGGCTCTTTTTCGTTTTACAATTTTCCCAATCTCGTCTTCAAAGTCGGAGTCCGAGTTATCCGAGAGGGGGAGATATCAATTCCTAGTGGAAGTCAATGTTCTTTTGGACTTTTCCCGTATTAAACTCTGGAAATTTGTTCTAAATTTCTTGGGAGTCTGGAACGGTTACCCTCGATCCTGGTTTCCGGCATCTTGGGTATTCATGCAATTTTCACTGTTTCTGAGAAGGGGTCTGACGAACTTGCTGTTCGGGGAGGTTGGCAGGGGTTTATAATTACTAGTTGTCGATTTCTTGTCGTCCTCCGAGGTTAATTCTCCTGATTTAAATCCCAAGATTGAGTCCTGCACAACTTTAGGGGTGTCAGAGGTCTTAATGTAAATTTGAACATCGCCATTTGGGTAGGAATCGGTAGTTTGCGTAGTTGTGGAGTATGGAAGACAGTGAAATTTGAAGCTACTTAGTTCACCTCGTTTTTCATTTTTCTCCATACTTTTTATATTGGACTTTTTAATATTAGATACAGCCTCTGTACTTGTGTTTTCGTTGAGAGCCATCGCTGAATCGGCCCCAAAATCAAAATTTAGGGGTCTAGCTTGAGTTCCTGCCGTATTGTTTGCTTGCCGTCTGGTCATTTTCTGAGTCTTGAGTAGAGTTTCCTGAGGGTTCAGGATCAGCATCCTCATTCTGGCCCCTTTTTCAGTAGCGAGAGTGTGAATGCTGTCATCTGCGTCCATATACTCTTCCGATTCGTCATCACTAGTACTACGGTTGAGATTAGGCTGATTATTTTCAACATTTTCAAGGTTTTCCAGACTACTTTGTTCCAAACTTTTTTGGGTGTTCTCCATACTTTTTTGAGAGTTTTCGGATCTTTTTTGCAAATGATCCTTATTTTTTAGAATTTTTACGTCTGTCTGGATAACGATTTTAGGATCAGGCTTTTGGACATTGGGGATGGCATTATCTTGTGTTGATTTTTATGTTTTCACTATCTGATGTGACCGGTCCCAGCTGGAGGAATCTTCGAGGTCCCCGTAAACCTCTTCTAGAAAAGTTTGAGGGTCATTTGTAGGTCGTTCCAGGAAATTTTTGGACAGGGGTTCCCCCTGTCTTGGACAGTTGACCCCTGACTTAGTGTTGGTGATTATTAATGCCCGTAATCTAGTTTTACTCGCGTTTAATGTAGATCTTAGTTTGGTTTTGGCCTTTGTTTTCTCTGGAGTTTGCACTTTAACTATGCTTCTCAGCTCTGCAGTTTGTTTCCATCTATTCTTTTGCCTCTGCGAATATACTGTGGGATATTCTTTAATTTGTGTGTTATTCGCCCCTGAGGGCTCTCCCTTGGAGGTGTAATGACAGTTCACCTATCTGACGGTCCGCTCACCCGTTTAGTCAACCCGCCGACTAGAATTGAGGACCTAGTCGCATTTGAGTTGTATACTTAGTAATCTTTCATGCTATGATTGTCTCTGCGTTTACTTTATTTTTGTTCCTTCTTGCCAGCGTTTGTAAATTGATAGATGGTTAGCTTTGGCAGGATTAATAATTCTTAATTATTGAGGCATATGGGGGGCATTAGTTATAATATTAGCTCACGGTCTCTGTTCTAGTGTATCCACTATCAGTAATTCTTCCGAATTCGTATACATAAACCTTTGTTCCTCGAAATTTCAGAGGGGGGTGGCTCAGTGGTAAAGTCTCTGCCTGTGGATCCAAGGGTCCCAGGTTCGAATCCCACCGTTGGCCGGAATTTTTTTATTTAATTTAATTATTTAAAATTAATTCCGATGCCTTGGTTGGATTCCCCACTCGGCCATTCACTGTTGGGTTCTAATTAACAGTGCTGTTTCTAAAGTGGGAAACAGTAACAAAGCCTACACAGAACACGAGGCGAAATAACCTTAGCAGTTGAAGCCGATGACACACAAAAAAGAACACAAAATGGCTAAACATTTTCCAACGACCAAAAACCCGAAAACGAGATAGAAATGACTTTTGATGGTTCGGATCAGACGTACTTCAAATAACATGTAATTAATAATAGGCTATAATGAAATCTAATAATATATGTACGGGGATTTGTCAAGATGTTGTATATCTATCCCATTATCGTCCACTATATTTTGGTATCAATTCTTGGAAGTCGAAAAATCCGAATCTTATGTTTTTTCTTTCTCCTGGGCTCGTTTGACTATTTGTCTCCGAATAACACTGAAGCCTATTGGCTTATTGTGTTTTACCCCATGTTAGTTCATAGCACCCACTCTGTCACCTTTGTACCTTGTACAAGTTTGTACAGATCCTTGGGTGAGTGGGTTCTATACGTTGTTGGATCAACCTGGGGTTGTCCAAAAAGACCCTGTCTTTTGTGATCTAGAGCTTCGCATTCGCACAGTATGTGTTTGGCCGTTTCTGGTTTCTTGTGACATTGTCGGCACATGAGTTCCCCATGGTACATGCCAATTTTGTTCAAGTGTCCCTTTACTGGGGCGTGCCCAGTCATGAACCCTGTTATCACTTTCAACTGGTTCCTATTCATTAAGAGTAGTTCTCCAGTTCTATTGGGACATGGTCTGCCTATGAAGGCTTTTCCATGTGCCTGTTTTGGGGTGCTTCCCCAATAGTTGATATGTTGTTCCCGAATCCAGTCGTTTATGGAATCTTATGTTAGTCTGAAGATTAGAATGTTAGAAGCAAAATAATCAAAGAAAAATTGACTTTGAATGGCCATATTAGCGCTAAAAAGACTAGAAGTTATTTTAAAAATAATATCATCTGAAATGCTGACGTAGTTTAGTACACTGCCGACATAAAGTATAAATTATTTAATTGTTCATCTCTCTCTAAACTTTGCGTGTCTTACGGCTGGCTGAATTTTGGTCGGGGCATGTATTCGTCTTAACAAATTATATAAAATCATATTTACTAGGGGCGGCTACCCTTTAAGGCCGCGCGTCTCTCCTTAAAAATACCAGAGAATAAAATACTTATATAAAAATATTATGTATTTCTTTATGTGCTATGAGTGTTATTTTTTACGTCCCTTCCAAATCCTTCCTATAATAACAATTTATGAGCTCTTTGACTAGACTATAGACAGCCGCAAGAAGATTGAGGCCCGCGTCTCCATGGAAACGTAGTGGGAAATGCGCTATCGAGTACGTCTTGCAATCGGCTGTATTAGTGCAGATCGTCAGGCGACTGTTTTGATTTATTAAATATGTTTTATAGTTTTTAGAGAATTTTTACGAAGCACTGTGTTAAATGATTGACTAAACGCCTTAGCTATAATATCAATAAAGTCATGCAAAATTTTATTACAATGAGGGATCTATAGCAGATTTCAGTTTCAGGAAGTGAATCATGCCATAAATTTTCGTAAAAACAAAACTTTAAAACAATATAAATATGTCGTTATTTATGTTTGTTTTTTAGAATTATTATTTTTATAAGATGTTTTACTATAAGAAATATATTTCATTTTGTTTATTGACTATTGACAAGGCGCAGTGTGGTATTTTTTCTATGTTAATGAAAAAATACAAACTAGATAAAAAACACATTTTCCATAATTCCCACCCTCAAGCCAACCGCCGCCCCCACCTTCGCAGCTCACGAGCCGCCACTGATATTTACCTAAATTTCATTTTTTTCTAGCGTTTGAGACATTGTTATCCTGATTGGCACATTTATATTGAGTAATAGTAAATTTATTAATTTCAACAAAATTTTTAAACCCTGAACTCAGACCTTTATTAAAAAACGTAAATAAAAATAACTTGGCAAATATATAAATATTTATTAACAAAAATTTATTTATTTTAACAATTTAAGGATAGCTATAGGAACATCCATCGTTTGGTCGTCTTTCAACACTATATCATAAGTGTTCAACCAAGTTGGTAATGACGATTCGTTCTAAAAACAAAAAGAAAAATAAAATGAAGTTGAAATGAAGCTTATTGATAGAAACTCTTATTATTAACTTAATAATAAAGTGAAAACAAATAAACTCGGAAATTCATCACTTTTAAGTGGTATGATTAAAGTTATAAAACATTATTTGAAATTATAGTTAATTGCACAGTTGTGGCAAATTATATGTATTCCTGCATTTCCTGTATTAATAGAACTAATATTTTTTGTATCAGGTATATTAATTCCTTTTTTTTTTAAAGAAATCATTGCGTTTATCACAAAAGTACATAATTATTTGTTGTTTGGGGAAAATAATCTTAAATATTTAAAATACTTTTCAGCTGTACAAGTACTGTACAAATAATAATAATATTAACATGGGCGCTCGCAGGAAAAAAGTCAGAGGGGACAATCAAAAAAAGTTTTAGTTTGTCAACAACTAAATTGTATATGTATACAAAAATAATAGCAAATTAACAAAATGAAAAGCCAGGGGGGAAACCGCCTGTGAATATTAACACTTTGATTGTTTTACGTTACTATAGTAGCTTAAATAATGTGATGATAAATTATAAAAAAAACAATAATAACAATGGTTTTTTTGACTATTTTTTGAGAAACATTTTAAAAAATTGGCCCCGCAAGAAATGTTGGCAGCTGATTTAACTGCTGTTGAAGAATTTGGGAAAGTTGATTTTTACTTGCTATAATTCAAATTATGTGTCTAAGTTAAATAAAGTCTTACATTTCCATAGAAAAATCCTATTTTCAAAACATTTTCTACTTTATCCAGATTGTCAAGAACCGCTACATCACCTAGATGGTCTCCCATAACAATAACATTATGCCTGTTTCCAATTTTTCCATAAAATTTTGTATTCTTGAAATCGAGTATATTTTTATTTTCTGTATGGATTGGAGATGCTTTATAACCGACAATTTTTCCATCCTCATCTAGTTTTAAATAGTTTGTCAATAACTAAAATATAAATTATATTTCTTAATTAAAAAAAAAAAAAAAATAGTAGCAAAATAGTAATAAGTAATATTAAAATAAAAGGAAAATAAAAGTAAAATGAAAGTAAAATAAAAGTAAAATAAAAGTAAAATAAAAGTAAAATAAAAGTAAAATAAAAGTAAAATAAAAGTAAAATAAAAGTAAAATAAAAGTAAAGTAAAATGATATAGGAATAAGTAAAATAATAGGAATAAATAGAATAAAAGTAATGTAAAATAAAATAACATTTATATGAAGTGATCCACAAATTCTTTTTCTAAAGTAGACCATGGAAAAAATCACGATTGTCAGAGCATACCATTCTACTTTTTTTAAATGGCAGTTTGGATTTAATTCATAGGCGTGCGTACACTAACATGACTCTTATATCTACTTTTGCCAGTGGTTGTCTACATTAAAAAAAAAAAATTGTAGATTACTTTTTATAAATACAGGGTGTTATTGAAATACACGTACATATTAAAATGGGGAATAGTATGTAATGACCAAAAACGATTGGCACCAATTTTAACTTCAAATTCTAAAATTTAAATATTGGGGAAGAGTCCCCTTTTCCGACCTACTAGTTTCCATATTTAAAGAAGTAAAATAAATCGAAATTGAACTTACCCATAGAAATTGCACTGTTGCCGTACCAAAACCAATTAATTCAAAATAAAGTTTATTACAGTAATTGTTCAAAATGCCGTCCATTATTATTTACACACACTTGCAATCGTCTTTCCAAAGAACTTTGAACATTAGAAATTAGTCTTGGATTTTGTCGTAGTTCCTCGGCTACCGCATTAACTTTATTGGTTAATTGTTCAACACTATTAATAGGTTCATTATAAACCAGTTGTTTCATGTGACCCCACAAAAAGAAATCGCATGGATTTAAGTCCGGAGATCTCGGAGGCTACTTAGTAGGTCCATTTCTGCCTATCCACTTTTGAGGAAATCTAATGTTCAAAAACTGCCGTACGTTTAAATCAAAGTGAGGAGGAGCGCCATCTAGTAGGTACCACATCCGTTGCCTTAATTGTAACGGTATCTCTTCTAGGAGTACTGGCAAAATATCTTCTAAAAAGTGGAGATATCCTGGTCCATTTAATCTGTTCGGAAGAACATAAGGCCCGATTAAATACTGATCTATTATGCCAGCCCAAACATTTATTGAAAATTTTCTTTGATGCCCAGTTTCCCTAATGGCGTGAGGATTTTCATCACTCCAAATATGCGTATTGTGCATATTGAACACGCCATCACGAGTGAATGAAGCCTCGTCGGTATACAATAATATTTTTAGAAAATCAGGAATATCAACACATTTTTGAATCATCCATTCACAAAACTCCACTCTCTTTTCTTCATCACCTGGATATAAGGCCTGGACTTTTTGGATGTGATAAGGATGTAAACCTTGTTCTTTAAGTGTCCGCCACAAAACAAATGAGGACACTCCAATTTCAAGACCTAGTCTTCTACAACTTAATTGAGGCCGGTTTTCAACAGCTTCCAATATTTCTTCTTCGGCCGCCAATGTTCTTTGTGTTCTTGTTCTCCCTTGATCTGCATTGACACTCTCAAATTTTCCATGGTCTCTTAGATGCTGAACAGTTGAAATAAACGTACGACAGTCCGGAATTCTCCGATTTGGAAACCGTTCGCGATACAGGATTTGTGCTTGCCGAGAATTTTCTCCAGCTGCCCCATAAACCAGCACTATATCCGTTAGTTCAATATTCGTAAATAGTGGCATCGTAAAAAAATATTTAAAAGTAATCGTAACAACACTTTTTACCAACTTGGAAATGACGCGCTCGTGTTAGCCAGATTCGTAAATCAACTAAAATTTTAATAATCTATAGTTTCAAAAATGTATAGTTTAAAAACAATCATTTACCAAATATTCTAGTTTTTTGATAACGAGGGTAGTAAAAACCAGTCTTCGGAAATAGAAATTAATTCGAAAATCTTGGCAACATGGTTATTTCTTACAAGACTAGTTTTCTTATCATCTGACAAAAACTTGCATATTAATTACTGTTGATGTTTAAAATAGGTAAATAAACCTAATTTATATAGGTCATCCCCAACATATCAGTGAAGTACGTTTGTTTTAGAATTAATTTTCAAAAATTAATAACTCCCTTAATAAGGGGTATTTTTAAAAAATATTATTTTTCTACATTCAGTGGGGATCTGCGCAATACCCAGTTTTAATATGTACGTGTATTTCAATAGCACCCTGTATATTGTAAGACTTTTTGGTTTTAAAGAAGAAATCGTAATTTATTTCTCATAAGGATACTAACCTCAACATTAGGACTGCATATATTCATTTTTATAAGGAGAGGTTCTAAAAATTCTCCCACCCCGGCTGAAATTAAAAGCACAGGTACATTTGCTTTATTTAACAGGTCAAAAAATTCCTTAGCATTATCCCTGAAAGGTATAAATGATTATTTCATTATAAAACTGTAGAAGAGCATTTTGATTAAACAATATACAGGGTTGGCCAAACCTCTGTCGTAGTTCTATAACTCCTATTATGCAAATCTTAACGATTTATTCGAAGTATACCTGTCAATGGTGGTCAAAACCAAATATCCCAAAATTATTTTCTTGTGTACAGGGTGGCCCAATAGTAAATTAGGCAAATCACTTATTTTTTTTTTAAATGGAATGACCCAACTTTTTTCCAATTTTAGGTACTCTATGGTCACTAGTGCATACCCACAAAATATTGTTTCTAACATCAAAAAGAAGAAATACCAAAAAATATTACATTTTCAGACGCCTATTAAAATATGCAGTGCTCTCTCGAATTTGACGTTAGAATTTAAAAAACTACAAATGTATAAAGCCAATAGACCAAAGATTTTTTTAGACCACGTTTTCATTTTTTATTTTGTACAGGGTGGTCACAAATTAATTGCAATTTCCAAAAATTTCTAGGACATTTTTTCAAATTTTTCAAATAGAACACCCTGTATTACTATTCATCGATGAAACAAGAATTTTATACCCTTCGACTTCCCCATGTACTTTCCTATACCTATCTGTCGTCGTCTAAAAGTAAATTCCAAAAAGACATTGATCTATCAAAAATCCAATTTCTACCAGTGGTTTTATTGAAAGTGAACATTCAATCAAGTAGGCTGGGTCTTAATGAAGTGTCGGATTATTTATTAATGAAGTGTCAAGTTATTTTTACTGATCGCGATAATTCTTCTATTAATAATGAATTTTACGAAAAACGAATTAATTGACATGGTCTATGTTTTGGGAGAATCCGACAGAAATTGTTTATTGGCAAAAAGAATTTATCATCAACGATATCCCGATAGACGCATCCCTGATCAAAAAAGTTTTGAAAAGTTACATGAAAGATTTACCGAAACAGGAAATGTTGCTTATAAAAAACCAATAATTGACAAATGTGCTACTGATAATGATAACCAATTATCTGTAATTCTGACAGCGATAGAAGATCCTCATGTAAGTCAAAAAAAGATTGCCGAAGTAGTTGGTATAAGTAGAACATCCGTTAGAAGGATTTTAAAACAGCATCAATATCATTCTTATAAAATACAATTGCATCAAGAGCTGAAAGACACCGATTTTAATAATAGAATGGTGTTTTGTAACTGGGCACAAACTAAACTGCAACAAAATCCATTTTTTTATTGATAGAGTGCTGTTTTCTGATGAATCTACATTCCACAAGAACGGATTCGTTAATAGACATAATTTCCACTATTATTCCACGGAAAATCATCATCAGAACACATAGCCAAGAAAGATGGAGTGTAGTGTAAATGTTTAGGGAGGTATAATTGGGGATCATGTTATTGGGCCGTATTTTTTTGAAGGCAACTTAAATGATGTATTTAGATTTTTGAGCAAATCATCTTCCTACTTTACTTGAAAACATTTCCCTTGCTGTAAGACTAACAATGTGGTACCAATGATGGGGCAGCAGCGCATTTTTTACGCGAAGTGGCAGATGAATTAGATGAAAAGTTTCCAAATAGATGGATTGGTAGAAATGGTCCAAAAAAAATGGCCAGCTCGATCACCTGACTTAACAAAACCCGATTATTTTTTGTGGGGTTATATTAAAAATCTAGTCTATCTTACGCCACCTACAACACCTGAAAATATGAAAGAAAGGATAGTGCAAGCTTTCCATTCCATTACACCTGATATGCTTAGAAACGTTTCTCGATCATTCGCCCAACGAATAAATGTATGCATTAGAGAAAATGGCAGACATTTTGAGCATCTTTTATAAAATGTAAATTTATGTTTTAGGATAAATTTCAAATAAATTTTATTATCGTAATTTTCTTCCTTTTGAATTTATTTTATAACGGCGACAGATAGGTATAGGAAAGTACATAGGGAAGTGGAAGGGTATGAAATTCTCCTTCAGTTGATGAAACATTTTAAAAAATTTCCCTCGAAATTTTTGGAAAGTGAAATTAATTTGTGACCAAAATAAAAAATTCAAACTTGGTCCAAAAAAATCTTTGGTCTATTGGCTTTATACAATCGTAGTTTTTTAAATTCTAACATCAAATTCGAGAGAGCACTGCATATTTTAATAGGCGTCTGAAAATGTAATATTTTTTGGTAATTTTTTTTTCTGCGAAAGGGGTGGGATGTTAGAAACAATATTTTGTGGGTATGTACTAGTGACCATAGAGTACCTAAAATTGTAAAAAAAGTTGGGTCATTCCATTTAAAAACAATTAAGTGATTTGCCTAATTTACTGGGCCACCCTGTACACAAGAAAATAATTTTGGGATATTTGGTATTGGCCACCATTGACAGGTATACATCAAATAAATCGTTAAGATTTGCATAGTAGGAGTTATAGAACTACGACAGAGGTTTGGCCAACCCTGTATAGTCAAACAAATTAATAAAGTAAAATAAAAGAAGTAAGACAAAAATAGTAAAATAAAAGACGTAAAATAAAAGAAATAAAATAAAAGAAGTATAAACAAAATAAAAGAAAAATAAAATAAAAGAAGTATAAACAAAATAAAATAGCAATTGTATGAAGAGATCCACGACTTCTTTTTCTAAAGCAGGCTATGAAAAAAAAATTACAATATCAGAGCGTACGTTTTATTCTTTTTTAAATGACAGTTTTGATTTAATTCAGAGGCGTGCGAACTTATCACTGACATGGCTCGTATCTCTGTCTATATCAATAATTGTCTACCTTTTAACGGTTTCGAGAGAAGCCCCCACCCCTATTTTTATCACTATTCCATAAATTGTATGGCCATGAATTTGATTTGGAGTAGTGAAAAGATTTAATCTATAAAGATTAATAAATAAAAATGATTACAGTGCAGGACTATAGTAACAAGAGCAATGCAAGTTTAAACTTGTCAAAGCCTGAAAATTCCGGTGCAAACTTGTGTGCGCGATGTGTTCAGAGAGCCAGCTTGGTACAGTGAGACCTCTTGAACTTTTGCTATATATTTTTGTTATTTGGAGGTGTTTGGGGGCGGACGAGAGGGTCTGGAAGTTGGAATATGTAGAGAATAAGTGAAAACATTGCGTAAAAACCCGAAAAATCAATCATTTTTATTTATTTTTCAATTTAAGAGGGAAAATCTCCCCTAACCCTACATTGTTGCTTCACATTTTTATATTTTAGAACTTTTCACCCCTCTAACCTCTCAGAAGAAATGTAAATGATGTTATTAATAATAAAATATAAAGAATTATACAAAAATTCTAAAGGTATTAAATGTCTTAACTAAAGATTCAAACAGAAAAACAGCGGATTAAAAATAAACCAAATAGTTAGGTTGTTACTCCAGTCAGTGGCTCACATTGAACTACTTAAAGAATTCTCCAAGGTAAAACGTTAATAATTGACCTGCAGTTGAGTAAGGGTTGATGCCTAAAACTCTTGCTTCGGGACCCTAGGATGTTTTTTAATTATACTTTCTAATCAACGGGGGGAGGGGGGTTAGCCTTCTCTGTGCCTAAGCCCCTGATTTAAATATTTTAAAACTTATTCATAAATACTTTCACTCACCTTGCTGGAGGGCCATATTTTAATGTAGTATTAACCATTTCTTCTGAACTAATTTTCAATCCTCTAAAAAAGAAGTTTTTCATAAATTGGATTAAATTGAAAATGAATTTACGATCAAAAAATAAACTTACATCTCAAATGTGTTATTACATTATTTCTATATAATTCTGTCATTTTTTAACATTTTTGAATATCAAAAGAAAACTCTGTCTGTGGATAAATAATTTTTTGAATTATTATACTAGATAATTATACCCTTCTTCATTGTGTATTTTAACAAGAACTGAAGAAGTAGAGAAACAAAAAAGAAACGAAAAAAAAAACGGAAAAGAAACAAAAAATAAAACGAAAAAAAAAAACGGAAAAGAAACGGAAAAGAAACGAAAAAGAAACGGAAAAGAAACGGAAAAGAAACGAAAAAAAAAACTGAAAAGAAACGAAAAAAAAACTGAAAAGAAACGGAAAAGAAATTGAAAAGAAACGGAAAAGAAACTGAAAAGAAACGGAAAAGAAATTGAAAAGAAACGGAAAGGAAACGGAAAAGAAACAAAAAAGAAAAGAAACGGAAAAGAAACGAAAAAGAAACGAAAGAGACGGAAAAGAAACGAAAAAGAAAAAAAAATGGATAAGAAACGGAAAAGAAACAGAAAAGAAACAAAAGAAAAAGAACATACTTTAATTTACTCATCTGATTCAGGTTCTTAACTTTATAAATATTTATAATTAGATAATTTTAATACCTAGGTCAAACATTTTTAAACGTTTGTAAAATATTTTCAATCAATAATAATACCAATACTTGTTTAATTTATTTAAAAGAACTTACTTGTAAGCTTCAATGGTTTTGGTCCACCATTCGTTCATAAATATTTTACGTTGTGATTCTGGTATACTGAGATTTCTATCTAACGGTTTGTACGTTTCTGTAATGTTACTAACAATTTTGTAAACTTCGGATGGAATTGAAGGACATCTTTGTAATATACCTAAAATAATATTTGTGTAAATTAATTGATGTTTAATACCTACATATGAAACCAGTAACGAAATGACTTATTTTTTTGTAACGAGTGAATAGTTGCGAGACGAGCAGAGCGAGCAGAACGAGTTACATAAAACCGCATTTCGTAACGTGTTATATACAATATTTTTTCTAATTTTGAATAGATTATTTATAAAATTGTGTTTTGGTGAAACATTACTGACATATAGGCAACCAGTATTACTACTTTCTTGTATTGTTAGTTGCATATGCGTAACTTTATTTATTTCATTGACAAATGGAAAATTATATTAATTTATTCTCAACGTCTTATAGTGTGCTTATATTGTCGTCCGATCGCCTGAAACCAACCATATTCTAGAGTTCCGTCGAGAGATAGAAAAACGTGAACTGGAGACGACATAGAAGAAATCAGAGGTGGCAAAACAGCTTAAAGAAGCAATAGAAAATAAAGGTTTGAATTCGGAAACGTATCTGTTTTCGGATGATGCATCTTCTGTTATAATTTCTTCAATTTCTTCCGATATGGAAAGTAGGGTCTCTTCCTTAAAAACCGAAATGTCTTCTGATATGACCTCTATGAAAACTGAGATTTGTTCCAACATTTCTTCATTAGAAAGTAAAGTTTTTTCTGATGTTTCATCTATAAAAAATAATATTTCTTCCTTAGACAATAAAGTTTCTTTCGTGGAAGGTAGAGTCTCTTCCGATATCTCTTCTTTAAGAGATGAAATTTCTTTCGACTTTAAAAGCAAAATATCTTCTATGGAAAATATGCTTTCGTCTAATATTTTTTCCTTAGAAGAAAAGGTGTCTTCCGAAATGTCTTCACTAAAAAATGACATTTCTGCTGATGCGGAAAATAAGATAACTTCCGTTGAGAAGAAACTCTGCCCGTGTTAAAGCCCCAACTTTCGACTGGAAAATGTTACACACAAACTACTTTAAAAGACAGCAGGCAGTAAATTTGGCTTTAGATGTCCTTCAAACTATTCTTGTGGAGGAGATGGATAACTTTGAACAACTTAAAAAGAGAATAAACATGCGATATGTTCATATACGATTGGATCATTTACACCAATCACAGCTAAAGAATCGCAAACAGAAACGTGACGAAACCCTTCAAGAATAATGAAGTAGATATTGTCAGGTTAGTGTGATTTGGCTACCCATCAGGTTCAGAAAACATGATGAAATGTTTGGCAAACATTTGTTAAAGCACTCCGTGACCACGAAATGCAGAACACACTCCGCTTAGCCCGTCACAAAACATTGGTCGCCGTCTTGTCCGCTGCTCTAGAGTATGAGACAGCTACTCAGACTTCCGTAATTCATCAGACAACTTATGATAATTCCAACGACAAATTTCAAGCAAATTATTGCAGTTGTTGGTCAATCTCTGAATCAATTAGAGAGAAGAAAAGTAAAGGAAATTCTTCTTCGATATCGTGACATTTTTGTACCACAGGGAGGAAAAACAGTAAGAAGTACTGTTGTAAAACATAAAATTGATACTGGTGATGCCAGGTCAATTCGTCAATCAGCTTGAATATTACCAAAGGCCAAGAGAGAGGAAGTTGAAAGGATTATTCGGGAAATGGAGAAAGACAGGGTGATAGAACCTTCTACCAGTTCATGGGTCTGTCCGGCCCAGAAAAAGGATTAAACTACGAAGTTCTGTATGGATTACCGTCAGTTGAACAATGTTACCAAGAAAGACAGTTATCCTCTGCCTCGAATCAATGATACCTTGGACACATTGGCCGGAAGTAAACTATTTTTTACCCTATAACCCAGAAGGCAAAGCAAAAACAGCTCTTACCACCGGATCTGGATTGAGTGAATTCATTGTCATGCCCTTGCGACATTTGAAATACCGATGGAAAATATATTGAGAGGGTTATCCCACAAAGCACGTATCTTCTAGAGACCCCACGCCAATGTTAAACTTTTAAACCAAATTAGCGCCACCTTGTGTTTGGAGCTGGAACTAAAATGACAATTGACAGATGACGGTAAATTCAAATTGTAATTTTTAGGAGTAGGTAGTAGTTTTAAATTAAATTTTAAATGATTTCCACATAAATTATTTTATAAAATAAAGTATGGAACTAGTAAGTTCGAAACTTTTATTTTACAAAATAATTTAGGTCGATTATACCAAATTTGAGGAATTAATTTGTTATAAGCAGGGGTCTGATGTGGAGAATTGGTTCTGCATATTATTATTAAATAAATATAAGATATATCAATAAATAATAAAATAGAACATTCTTAAAATATGTTTATTAATAACTTAAATAAATATTATTAGATAAAAATAAATACAAATAATAATACATATTTAACGAATACTTTCTTGCAGCAAATAGGTATACAATCTCAAATCTTTAAAATACCTATCAATAATTTAAATGTGAAGTAGAGACTAGGATATTACATTTTATTAACACTAAAATAATATATTTTATAAATGTCTTTTTAAATGTAATATAGGTATTGTATTAAAAGGTGAATCCTTTTAACTAATCATTCAATGATAAATAGGTAATTGCCTTCCAAATACAGATAGTGGTATTACTCCACTGCTTTGTGTATTACTCTCTTATGTGAAAAATGATTTCGGAATCTAGTCCAGTGATAAATTGATTATCAATTAGTTGTTATACCCGTTTGTCTTTTTATGATGCAGATGCATGGTGAATCAATAAGTTTTTCTCGAAGTTTTCAACGTAGCACCCACAGGTAGCACCAAAATTATTGCAAAACACAGTAGGAAATAGAAAAGCGAAACATCACAATTTTGCAAATAACTAAGACGAAACTATAAACAGAAGCCAAAGCCAACAAAAAAATCACTAAAATCAGACGGAAAAATGAGACTAACCAAAAACATAAATAAATACACCTCACATCTTTGGAGTCTTTGGTTAAGTTTTTCTCCCATAAAGCTTAAAAATGGAGTAAGAAATCAGAATTTCACCAGTAGCCCCATCTAGAGTTTGGAGCAAATAGCATAAAAAATGTCAGTTGTCGGTTTTGACCTTGGTCATTCACGTGGAACCTCTATGTGCTTTGTGGGTTATCCTGGAAAACATGCCTGGTGTATTTAGACGACATCATATTCTTAGGGGAGGCATTTGATGAACATCTAAAGAATTTAGAAGATTTTAAAAGATTTGAAGATGCTCAGTTGATGTTAATCCCCAAGAAATGCCTAGAAATTTTAAAATAAAGTTAATTACGTGGGTCATATAGTCAGCAAGGCTGTAGACAAGGAGAAAGTCGTTTCCATCAAACACTGGCCACAACCAACTGATAAACATCAAATAAGTTTTCATGGGTTCTGTAAGGACTATCAAAGGTTTATAAGAAAGTTCGCAGATATTGTTAAGCCACTAAGACGACTCAAAAAAGAAGTGAGAGAACTCTGCTGAGACAAAGACTGCCAAACTGCCTTTGAAATTTTAAAGAAGTATTTAACCACAGCGCCAATACTAATACTAGACTACCCATTACCAGAGGGAGAATTTATTCTGAATACTGATGCCAGTAATGTGGAACTTGAAAAAGTACTTCCACAGATTCAAGCGGGAAAAGAAAGAGTACTGGGTTATTTTAGTAGTAAAGTGCTCTCGAAACTTGAGCGACATTACTGCGTCACAAGAAGAGCGTGGAACACGTCTACCCTTCTACCAATACCTATATGAAATGGATTATGCACTTTAAGGTCGGAATTAGCCACAGAAATGCCGATTGTTTTTTTTAGAACACCGTACTCAGCAGACTGCTCTCACTGTAGGTAACAGAGCAGAATCTAAAGAACATTAGTACTTTACAAAGGAGGTCAGGGTACCTACTTTCTTTTGTTTTAATTCTTGCACCTTAATTTATAATTTTTTGGTAGGTTCTTTGGTTTTTAGGTGTTTGTAGATCCAGATACAATCTACAGGCTCTTAAAAATCCAAGAATCTTCAAAAAAAAATTAACAAGAACAACTGTAGTCAAAGACGAGTGAACGCCTACCAAAATGATGGAAAAACAAGAGAACGGTCCCGTTCTAAAGCAGATGTGACAATGGAAAGAGGAAAATCGTCGACCTACTTGGCAAGCATTATCAAATCTCTCTTCAGTAGTGAAGTCATTATTCGCACAGAGGGACTCTTCTATCCTGGAAGAAGGTTTATTAAAGCGAGTACCAGAGAATGATGATTGTTTTGGAAACTGTAGAGTAAGGCAGCAACTGTAGCGGAACAGCCATTAAGATCGTGACCACCTTTTTATGACCATTTTGTCAATGTCAATAATATACAATAAGTCATGTTTTTGACGTTTTGATATTACAGAAACAGAAGACATTTTTTCATTCCTATAAAGACTTATCTTTAGTCTTCATAGTCATTCCAAAGACTAGAGTAGTGGATTCATGTCCTTGCGCTTCTATCATTTTGATACCGTTAGTAAAATTTTATTAGAACAAAAATATATTTAGTTTTTTATCACATTCCACCGATCCTCTAAATCTCTAAGTTTCAAATCTACTTTTTTAGTTTTGGCACTTTAAATGATTTTTAGTTAAAATTTTTATTCAATATTTGTTGCATTATTTGTATTTTGAGCAAAATAATTTCATATCTACTGTATTTTTTTATATCAAAAACTTCACAAGCATTTAAACAAGTACAAATACCATAATAATAAGTAAAATTTGCTAGGTATATAGTTATTTCCTCTGGGATTGTGACAGAGAATACCGATCAAGGAGAAGAGACAGCTTGGTGTTTTCAGTGTACAGTTTTGTAACGCGCATGTGTGAAAATAAGTTATGTATCACTCAAAATTATGTTATCTGTCAAAGTCAGTCCAAGTTGTGTTTAATACGTGAGCAATGTTAAGTGATATTTTTTGGTGTTTGTTGTGTGTAGTAATAAGATGAAGATTTTTACACACTAAGGTATTCTAATACAGATATAAAATGTGCCAAAAAAGTTATTAGGAAACTAAGAATTTTATCACATGCATAAATATTAAGTATAATGATTTAATCATTTTTGACATTTTATTTTTCATATGTAGGTATTGTATTTTGTGAAATATATGTTTTTCTTCTTTTAAATAAATTTAATAAAGAATGAACTGCAGATTTTGTTTATTTTAATTCAATTAGGATTGGTCAAAGTGGGCAAAATCCCTTTATTATGGCTAAATTGTAAGTTACAATTATGTCAATATAAAAATGTTTTGCCCATTCATATAGGGACCGTGCGTCATGACTTTAACGCTAACTGGTGACAAAAATTTGAACTTTGTGGGGGGTATTTATTAATATTTTATACGGCATTTATTGTTTAATAATTATTAATTAAATAAAGTCGAATTATTTTCGTAATATCATTATCGAAAAAACTTGTTGCATCCGTGGATGTACGAACACGTTACTTTGGAAACCAGGATTTCATTCGATAGTAAAGAAATTTTATAAATTTTCAGAGTAAAATTAGTGTCTCACAGCCAATGATATACATAATTACATAGATTGCTTATACATATCTAAATCAGACGACGAAAAGCGTATTTCACTGGGCAAACATTTTTTTTATCTAGCTTGTATCAATTTTGAGCACTTAGTTGTAAAGAAATCATTTACAGAACCGGTTTAGAAATTAGAATCTTTAGTATTTTCTTGTCATTAAGATTTTTACATATTTAAATGAACATTTTATATAAATATAATTTTACAGATAATTAATGGTTTATTCTGTTGATTAAAACTAATGTAGAATGTTACTGTGAAATAAGTATGTCCAATTTGCCAAAAATATCATAGCCCTCTTTACAATTTATTAACTATTTCTCATTTATTACTAAAATAAACAAATCATAAATAAAACATAAATAAAACATTGCAAGTACTGTCAAAAGATATTGCAACAAACTTTAAAATATTAAAAATCCAGTGATTTTTATAAATTTTTTTAGTGACATTACCATTAAACATTATTCAGAATAATATATATGTCCAATTAAAACTCTTACCAAAGTTGTTTATATCTCATATCAAAGTTGTTTACATTTCCTTTTCAAAATTGTATTACATATTGCAATATTGTATTTTATGTAGTGTTATTTCTGAAATGAGAGTGGTCTAAAATTATTTATATCCATCTGTTTTAAAAATTGTTTAGATATCTTAATATTATTTAACTACATGGTAACTCAACTTTCCAAATACATAATAACGTATCTTGAAGTAAAACTTTAATTATTTTCTTTTTCTAAAGATTAAAATGCTGAAATTTTTTATTAAAACACATTTGGGCTAGAACGGCTCTATTTAGTAAGCACATTGCAACCAGCTTTTAGTATTTTTTTTATAGATGGGTGAGCAATCTATAATATGTATATCATTGGGCGTCTCATAAACGTCAGTGGATGAATGACATTTCGACTAACAAAGCCCATAAAGCTAAAAAGAATTATTATTATTATTCCCAATCTTTTTTATTAATTTACATTTTTTAAATGTTATTGCAATATTTTTAAATTCAGTGGTACTAAATACCGATATTTTGACATTGGATACTTTCGTTTGAGGTACAACTTTACAATTTATTGTCACTTAGCCATTTAAATCTTTTTGCTTAAAATATATATACATGTCCAGATTTTAATAATGTTTTACATTTTATATCATTTTGACCATGTACTCGATTGTTTGGTACGGGCCGGTATCTATATTTAACTATATTTAATATTTTAAAAAATATCCTTTATTATTTACTTGCAATGTTTACCCCATTTAATTCTAAAATTAAACACTAGAGAGGGCTAACTTCGGCAGTAGTGCTGCCTCTATATTTCACGCACGGTCCCTATTAACATTTATTGAATGAATCATACTGGAGTTGATTTTGGAAATATTGGTGCATACTTAAATAAGTACTATTTCTAAAAATTCGTCTATGCACACATAGTCCAATGGACGTCCACATTAGATCTATTTGAGGGTCAAGACGTCCATATCCGGGCATACAGTGTACGTCCGTTTATGCTAATTAAATTGACAGCTGAATATCGATACCCAGAGAACGTCTGTTTTTGGACTTAATTTTAAGTTCAGTAGTATTTTGACGTCCAGTGGACGTCCATCTTAGGTCATTATTTATTAAGCCTGCCAGATAATACCCATCTATATATATACTTCTTTTTTTTAATATAACTGGTCATTAAAAATTGACAAATTGAATCTATTGCATTTCATTCTATCAGCGGAAGTTTGAAATCTTATTCAATTATAACTGTATCTAGTAAAAAGTTTTCAAGTGGTTCCTTGGTCGAGCTCGTCTAGCGATTGAAAGCGTAAAACGATAATGGATGTGTCGTGAGTTCGATTCTTGCTCAGGTCAAGCGATATTTAATAAAAAATAAATAATAGGTGTATAGCGATTTGCGAAAATAATAAATTATTAATAATATAAAATAGTGTGTTGTGAGTTGCGATTCTGTAAAAAAGTGGGGATGCGGTCTCAATGGAAATATAATCCTGGACGTTTTTTGAATGTCCAGTATTCGACGTCCAAATATATTCCAGTATTGGACGTCCTCTGAATGGTCAAAAGTGTGCCATTTGTATACTTCACTGGACGTCCATTGGATGTCGGAAGTCCAGAAAACTAATTTTTGGACGCCTAGATATCCAAAATTGTATATCGAATGGACGTCTAATGGACATATTTGTATTCTCTGGGTAATAGCCAGGCCAGGTATTTAACTCTAAATACATAAACCTTAAATGACATCTGGTTTAACTTGGCGAGAAAACACTTGTTTCTACAGAAATGAGTGATAAACTTGAAAGTCCTTTTAATATAATATAAATCTAGAAATTCTAAAAATATGTAAGTACTTTTTAAACCTAAAAGCTTTAAAAATATATGTACATTGCAAATATTTAGTTAAACCACTCAAACTTAATGTCTTTTTAATTGTTACCTACATTTTTTTTGACACCCTTAATTTTTAATTAAGGAAAAGGTAATTGAATTTAAATATGGGGCTTTTATTACATTTTTAACAATAAATAAATCAAATATTGAACAAATTTTATAGATAAATTATAAAATAATAAACGTCTTTTACTTTTATAATAAATAATTATTAAATAATGAATTATATTTTGGTGCCGAAATTTCAGCATTGCTATTAACCCTAACTACTTTAATGTAATTAAATCACATTGCAACATTTGCGCATGGATTATAACAATAATTTCAGATAATTTGCCAAACTATTTCGCTCAGTGTAGAAAATAAGCATGTTTTCTCAGCGTGCTAAGTTGTGCATCAGTCAAAGTCATACTGTGAAAAGGTACATCCGATATCAAAGGCACCGACAGCTACTGTCGCTTCTCATTGATCGGTATTCTCGGATTGTGACGTATTATCCCCACTCTTACTGCAATTTTCTTCCGCTTTTACTAAAGTGTTTTTAACTTACCAAAAGCATGTAATTGTGACTTTCCATTTACATGTTGTTTTGTGATAGTCTGATCATAGTCAGATATAATCGATAGGTGTTCATACCCGCCACATATGAAATTTTCAAGTTTTTTATTTAGTTCATCTGGATCTTTAACTAAAATTTTGCTGTGTTCTACTGATTCTAAATTCTTTACATAGTCGATCATCTTGTTTCTTGGTGTTTGTGAAATGACTAACAATGCCTAAAAAAATATTACTATTTGTTAAATTACACTCCAATTTTTACTCATATATCAAATACTGTTTTATCTACACAAGCATATTTTTTATTTTCATTTTCCCTCAGTGCATTTTAAGTAAGTAGGTAGATTATTGATTTTGAATTGCCTAGGTAAAATATAACGAAATAATTACTGAACTTTATTTTCCCTGAGAGTGATTGCACCGTTTGGTATTATGACGTTTTACTACAAAATAGTAAAATAATAAAAAACAAAAAAATTAAAAATATCAAAACTTAAAATTTATTGAAAGTTTACCTCCTTATTAAAACTGTATGTATTATTATATTCTTGATTACTTACTAAACGTTAATGGACCAAAACTTTAACAAAATACACCTTTCTAAATACGAGTAGATGCGTTTAAAATATAAAAGTAAATATTCAAATTAAAATTTACTATTCGTGCTTTTTATCAAAAATTTATGAAACATAATCTAAAATGTAGCCGTTTGTTTGAGAAAGGCAAATAAAATTATCTAAAATCATTAGTAATTACCTAATTGTTATTGTAATACATAATTAAATATTATTTAGGTTAAAAAAAATTATAATAGGTACAGAAAGAACATTTTTATAATTATTAAAAAAATCTTACCTGTGCAAATACAGACATAATTAAAACGAAATTCATTTTAAAAATTAAATATTTGTTAAATAATGGAATTATCGGAAAAACTTTTAGTTTAGTTTAGGTACATTTATATAATGCACGCATATATGCACATCAAAAAACTAAAAAATAACGTGTTATAAAATATGAATATTTTAATAATTATTAATGTGTGCTAATCTAAATCGAAGATATATTGAAAACACATTAGGGTATCTTTATCAAAATAAAAATAATGATGCAAGACTAAATAAATAAATATTATTTATTACTAAAATATGATGGTGAAAATGCTTACACTGAGAAAAATATGTGTACATAGTTGACCTAATTTAATTTACGTATACAAGATCCTATGTTTATTGTCAAAGCTGTACACAAACACTAGTAGCGGCTCGTGACCTAATCTAGGAATAAAGGCTACTTAACATATATAAAATTCATCAAAAACTTACCAAAGCACTTAAGTTGATACAATCATAACCTGGAAAGCCGTCCCTGGCGTTCAATATATTTGGGTAATATTCCCCTAATTTAGGACACTTTATTTACCTAAACCTCGGTAGATACTTGTGTTCTGCCACTTTTTGTCGATGGTATATGTATACAAGTATTACCTTTGTCACATTTATTATACAACTTGCCTTGAAAATCGTCTTGATGTGAGCATTTATACCTTTTTTCTGCCTGGGGGTCAATTCTCGACTTGTAGGAACCTTTTCCTATAGGAATTTGTGACACTTTCCTACATGTAGACAAATGTCATAAATTTCCGATGTGTAGAAAAATGTCAAAAATTCCTATAGGAATTTTTGACATTTTTCTATGCATAGAAAATTTATGACATTTCCCTACATATAGGAAAGTGTTACTAATTCCTATAGGAAAAGGTTCCTACAAGTCGAGAATCGACCCCTTGATGAGTAAGTTTTAAATCGGGAGTAGACTTTCCCAAAGATTTAAAATGGCATTTATCAGCCAGCGCCAGCGGTATCGAAAAATTAGCGCTGTATAGGCATAGCCAGAATCGATTCGATTCATAATAGACTCGATCTTTTTAGCACGAAGCAGCGAAACAATAGAATCAATTCTGTAGAAATAAATCGATTTAACTTTCCGATTGTATATGTTAAAAATCAAATAGATAACTGGAACTGATAAGTTTAGTAAATACAGAGGTCAATACGAGTAGGATTTATTATTAGTATCCGAACTTCAAAAAATATTAAATTTAAAGAAAATATTCAGTAGTGCAGTGCCGTCTATCAGTTATGTCAATAATTATAACAAATTTTTATATTTTCAAACTCATTTCTCTCAAGATTTTCATGAGATATGTCATACGTGAACGTGAAAATAGTATTTTTTAAGCTGGTGAGAACTCACTAACTGCTTCTCTCGGTATGACGCATGACAGTATGACGCTTGAAAATCTTGGGATAATAAATTTTATTTCGAATTTGAAAATAGCCCCCTTGACGTAACTAATGATTAATGTGTAGATTTCAGTTTGTGTTTTATAGAAAATTCCACACCTGTAATTTTGAACCAATCAAAATACGTGTTTTTGACAGATCACCATGGCAACGGAGGTATTTTAGTGGAAATTTTTTTCTCGTGGGGTACCCAACAGCGAATTATACTGGAAATTTTTTGACGTTTACAATAACAGACCATTTTTGACAGACTGGTTTTTATTTGTTCACATAATAGGTTTAGTTTTGATACATTTTAGTTACAATGCTAAGGTGTTTTCTATATTCTTCGGCCACTTCTTTTCTTCTTAATGGCGAAAATGCAGGACTTTGGATGCTTTGAATTATGTGTCTATGTCTAATAAAATATATATAATATTTAGACACTAATTTATTCACCTTTTTCCCATTCAGCACTTTGAATTTTGCGTAGTTTAGGTGCAAATATTCGTGGACAATTCGGAACAAATTTTCGTTTTTCAAGTTGGAGCCACAATCCTCTATTAATCCGAGTAAGTAAGTCATGGTGCAATGATGATCATTACATCAGACAATTTCACGCATATTTTGCATAGCGTATGATTTTCAAATCGATTCATTTTTAAACAAATAGGTAATTTTGTTGGTTTTACTTGCTGTGCAATATTCTTTATCGCAACAAAACGCGAGTTATTTAATGTTTTGAACTGTCAAAATACAATGATCACAGCCTCCTACGATTGATGCTTGCTGACGCTGGTTATGAATTTCATACCATTTTAAAGCGCTCATAACGCATGTTAATAAAAACGCAGAAAAACAATTTTCTACCACTTGTAGTTATTCAAAACTTACGTAAAATTAAAGAATATACTATTTTCTATTTTCAAATGGTATTCCCATGCAACTACAATGAGTAGAAATAGGTAATTTGAAGGCCTAAATAATTGCAGCGAAACATTTTTTTACGTCGGGCCGCTTGACAACTTCAAAACTGAAATTATATTCGAGGTTAGGGTCTCACTTAGTTACCATGACAACTCAACAATCAAGGCGACAACACCTTTTATGTTTCACTGGTGACTTGGAGAAAATAATTTGCATTGTTGAGAAACGAAAAATAAATTTTAAAAATATTTAATTTTCAACCATAATTCGGCGTGGAATTTTCTTACCGAATACCACGCGAGGTCAAATTAATATCAGGAAATTTTTTCTCGCTCATGAATATTTTTAGAAAATTTCCCTCGTCTGCGACTCGGGAAATTTTCAAAATATTCATGAGCTCGAAAGAATTTCAGGAATTAATTTGACCTCTAGTGGTAGTACTAGTGAAAATAATATAATTTTCTTTCTGTATGTTTTGGTATAATTTTTTTACAATAGTAAAATATTCAATGAAGGCGGGGAGTGCAACGATTGCCTGTGGTAATATTGGTAAAAATATCATTAAGATAATAAGAAAAAACACGCATTCTCTCATATATTTTGTGTGTACGTTGTATTACTTGATTATGCCATTTTAATTTTGATAAATAGGTATTGCTTTTATTTGCATTTATAATCAAACGATTTTTCTCGTGAATCGATCCATTTTACCTAATTGTTGAATGGAATCGTTCCATTTTTAAAAATAGATCCATCATAGCAACTTGGACACCCCTACGCTACACAGCTGCAGGCTAGAAGCGAAATACATAAATATCGCAATGTTGTTAGGCAATTTTATGTACACAAGTGCTTTAATATTAGTATAACACTTCCGAAAATAATAGTAGCTAACTTTTCGGATGGTACACGAAATTATCTGAAAATCGGATAATTGTCCGAGAATTAGCAACACTGCTAAGATAATAGACATAATCACTATTTACCCACTATACATAAAAACGTAACTAAAAAGTGTACAAGGTACAAAGGTGACAGAGTGGGTGCTATGAACTAACATGGGGTAAAACACAATAAGACAATAGGCTTCAGTGTTATTCGGAGACACATAGTCAGACGAGCCCAGGAGAAAGAAAAAAAAAGTGTTTATGTAATGCAAATATTGCTGTATACATGAAATTTAAGTTATACATATATGCGAGGGATGTTAATGAATATGATGTTAACATTTAAACATCTGTGGGATATTTAAGTACCGTTTTAAAAATATATCAAGAAACGTATGTATAAAAAACGACCCAGAAAAGGCTATTAATGTGTCTTGTTTACTGGGTACACTTTACACATTGTCTACACAAGAGCAAGGTGGAAATATTCGTAGCCCTCTTGCAGAAGAAAACAGATAAAAGTGGGGTGTTCTGGTGACGATGGACGTCAGAAATGCCTTTAACTCAGCAGACTTGGACATTGGTACTACGTAAAAATTCCGGAAAACCAATATGGCTTCTGCAAGGGAAGATCAACCAGGCGGAAACAGTCAAAAAGCTTGCAAAAGAAAGCTGACAAAAGTGGAGCATGCTGGTGGCGTCAGAAATGGTGACCCGACAGCCCATCACACGACATTTCATCACGCGACATCTCATCACAGACAATTCATCCCGGCGGCAGTTTATCACTGCGACACTTCATCACATCCTAAATCATCACATCCATTTGCAAAATATACACTAAAAAAATCCCTAAAGGTTGCATGCAAATATGCAAACAAAATAGTCAATAGTCTGCTGCTATGCAACATCTTATATAATAGATTATTTAGGTAGGCGGGAGTTACCGGAGAGCGTCAAGATCGTTGGTTTTGCCAACGATGTCGCAATAGTTGCAAATATGAGAGGCTGGACTTAGTTTATAGTGAATGAGTGTATTGGTAGAGTGGGACAGTGGCTGAGGGAACACAAGCTCACCATTGCTGACGAAAAATTGAGGTATTGATCCTAAAATAGAAAAGGGAGGTTGTATAATTGTGCTTCCGGATGGGCAGTACAGAGATCGTTCCCTGTTGGGTAAATACCTCGGCATATGGATTGACAAAAACTGCGCATTCGGAGAACATGTTAAAAAGGTCATAGCATGAGCAAATCTCAGTGCGACGGCGATTAGCAGGGTTATGCCGAATGTTTGGAGGACAGGGAGCCACAGCAGATAAATATTAGCCCAGCGTAGTGCATTCTACACTACTGTACAGAGGAAATGAGAAGATATAAAGACACCTACTGGAAAAAGGCCAAAGAAAGATATTTCTGCAGGTGGCATCGGGATATCACACGATATCCACCGCAGCGATGCTGCCCATCGACTTCCTCGTAGAAGAAAGTATGATAACTAATGATATGGCTTTAACATCGAGATAAAATGAAATATAGGGACACAAACACTATTTTGCGATATGACAGATGGACGCACTTAGCGGTGCCAAGAGTGATGGAAAAGTGTGCCATCAAAATGGCAACGTTTGAGTCTTTGATTTATTTGAAATCAATAATTTTATATTTGAAGATTGACGGAATGAAAATGTTTTTGTATCATTTATAAAACTGATTAGCTCCAGGAATTTGACACATGACGTAAATGTGTAATGCAAAGGTGCGGAAAGGGTAGGCTTTTGGATCGAGCGGCTGATCTGAGATTCAAATATCTGGATAGCCTGTCGACATAGAAGAACGGACTACTGGCTGATTCAAGTCTTGAGCGGCCAACAGTTCATCTTAAACATTTACGAAAAAAATAGGGAAGACTGCAGACGATGGCTGCACTTATTGTGGGGAGGTGGATACAACTGAACATACCCTAATTAGGATTACGCCCAATAGGAAGAGCGGGAGTGTTGAACGCAGGAAACCTGATCACGATTATAAGTAGATCCGAAGAAAACCGGGTTCTAATTAGAGATATGATACCCGGAATCTCGAAGTCTTAGAAGAAAATCTGTCTCGAAAATGCCGGGATTAAATTAGATCTAATCCCGGGATAAATACTGATTTTTTATGTCTTAATTAGGGACGTAATCTTCAAAAGGCCTTTGAATTCTTATTAACCAACCAACCCAAAGTTGGTGTCTGGGAAATGTTTTTTATTGCAGGGTTAGGTAATAATAGTAGTTTATGCAACAAGAAAGGATATAATGGCCATATCGCTCGAAGACGAAATTTGAACACGACGCCAAAGGCGCAGTGTTCAATCGTCTGAGTACGATGTGGACAATCCACTCGAGTTGTACAGAATATTTTTTCTACGACCTACTAACGAAAATTTACAAATAAAAAATATATTTTAGGTTATTAAGGCAAAATAACTAATAATTTTAAAATAATTTATGACTTAACAATTTTTAAATTAAAATAAACGAAAAAAAAAAAAAGGAAAAAAGTTCATTTCATATTTCCCTATCCGAGAATCAAACTCGAGTCTTCCGTGTGGAAGGCAAAAACGCCGACCATAGGACCATCTATTCTTTTATTTTTGTTGCTTTAATACTCGTAATTAAATTGACTTCATATAGTTTTATTTAAATTAACAAATTATTTATAATTATAGACAAAATAAAAACAAATGCTATATTTATCGATTCTACACAAGAATAACCCATTTTAATGTATGTTTAACGTCAATAATTAAAAAATATACTGACAATTAGTTTGACAGAATTGTCACTTATTTAAAATTTTAAAAATAATAGCAGTCGATTGGCGGATTTAATTTTTTTGCAGTGTTCTCACTACCTAGAATGGATATGAAATATATTCGTTCAGTTGAAGGCAATAGCATACTTTTTCGTTTTGTAATCTGTGCGTAAATAAGCTAATATTCATGGGGGTGTAGAAAAATAATTATGGAATTATCTGCTGGGTGTGTGTAAACTTATTTTTTTCATTTTCAAACTTACAAAATTTAATTATTAAAAATCATACTTATTAACAATTTGTAAAATTAGAAAATGTAGTGTCGACAACAAACATACATGTAGCTAAGTTTCCAAATGACATGTTATTAGGAAGATCATTGATGTATACCTAAAAGAATAGTGGTCCTAAAATCAATCCCTGAGGAATTCCTCTCTTAATAAACAGTCTACAGCTTTTTAAAAACAGTCTTCAATATACTTTACTAAAAATAAAATAGCGTCTATTGTAGAACATCCCCATCTAAAACCATATTGGAAAGGGGCGAGTATAATGCATATTATTTTAAGTTTGATGTATTTGTAAAGAATATGGCTGGATTATCTGGTTTTTCTAAATTCTGAATTATATTTTCTGAGTTATTAATAAAAAAAATAAGATCATCAACAAAAAAATTTATCGGCTTTGTATTTATTTTATTTCGCCCAATTTCTTTGTTAAGGATGTCCCACAAAGTCTTAGGTTTATTGCAGGAACCTAAAATCATATATATTTAAAAATTTTTAAATTTCTTTATATTCTGGCCTATTTTCTTCTAAAACGTTCTATGAACAATCATTAGTCATTGTTTAAAGTTTACTGCGTGGATGTGTAGTGCCTGAATAAAATCCAGAAAGGGATATCGTAGTGTAAAAGGCCTCTTTAAGCTACTAATACTTATATCGTTCAGACAAAAAAAAAAAAAAAAAAAAAAAAAAAAAAAAAAAAAAAAAAAAAGGAAAAATAATACATCTATTTAGAAAACTTCAAATAAAAAATAATTTATTGTAAAAAATAAATAAATCAACTAAAAATCAGAAATGTGGTGTTAATAATAAAACAAAAATAAAGTATTTTACTATTTTTTTACAATATATGTTTATTTGTATCAGATCTAAAATGAGAATTTATGCTTTTCCATCTCCTAAATTATTTAATGACTTTTTGATTAAATCTAAAATTGCCATCGGCAGATCCATCGTTTGATCATCCACTAAGACGACGTCGAATGTGTCCAGGTAGTCCGGTAGTGCCTCTTCACTCTACAACACAACAATCAAACTAGAAAACATCACAAGATCCAAAATTGAGAAGAAAGAGTTGATAGTATCAACCATGACATACTAATTGCTAAACTAAGACGATATGGGTTATAAGATATTATGAGTATGCCTCTGGTTGCTAAAATATATTTGTTTTAATATTAATGAAAGAGTAACATGTGAGATGCGAGGGAATCAATCGTCAATGTGAGGGAATCAATCGTCAATGTGAGGGAATCAATCGTCAATGTAAGGGAATCAATCGTCAATATGAGGTTTCACCGACGATGCATATGCCAACGTAGGATTTGCTGTGAGTACACTTTTGGTTTATAAATAAAACATTTAGTCCAGTTAAAACCTTACAACGAAGTGTTTGTTGCTGTTTACATTTTATAATTCAAAAAACAAATCAATTAAAAAATTCTTACCCTTTCATAAAGGAACCCAATCTTTAGTACAGTTCGTATTGTTTCCATACCTTCTACCATATTTGCATCTCCCAGTGAATCGCCCATTAAAATTACGTTCTCTCTATCTTCTATTCTCTTGTAAAATTCTGTACCTTTGATGGCGACCTCGTTTTTATTGTAGACATGTATGGTGGTGTTTTTGAAACCCATAATCCTACCTTCGTTATCGTATTTCAAAAAATTTGAAATCACCTGAAAGGGCAACAACAAAAATATAAGTAACGTGTACTTAAACTCGGGTATAGACTACTTATTACCCGAATTCGGTAAAAACTCGATCTTAAAAAAAACTAGTTTTAACTATAAACTTCAATTATTATAGATTAAGCTCGTTCAAATACCCCCACAGATTGTTTTTTTTTGTCGAAAAGTGAATATAAATACTGAGAACTACCACCACAACATGAATACAAAAGTATTCGAAAATTGGTTGAAAAATATTAAGACGATTTACGTTGATTGTACTGGATAACGCTTCATATCATTCTCGTACTAAGATTTAAAAAGTATATACATAAGGCCCGAAACAGATCGTTAAGGTCTATGGCCTGGTCAGTTTTTCCATTCGTCCCTATTCTTGGCTTTTTCTTTCCAGTTGATTATCTTCCTCCATTTCCTTCTAGACCTTCCTCTCTTGTTTTTTTCTCCCGGTGTTGTCCAAACTACTCTTTTTTACTGCCCTTGAGTCCTCCATCCTTTCTAAGTGCCCCAACTATTGTAACCCTTTCGACCGTATTATTTCGTATATGTTGGGTTCGTTAAATATTTCGTAGATTTCTTTGTTTATTCGTCTTTCCCATCCTTCTTCTGTCTTTTTGCCCCCATATATTCTTCTTAGTATCTTTCGTTCCCATATTTCAATCTTGGTCTGTTCTTTCTTATTTAATGTCCATGTCTCACTGTCATATAGCATTGTAGGTCTGATTATTGTTTTGTACACACATTTCTTTATTTCCCATGACAACTCTTTAGATTTTAATAAATTATGTAATGCTCCTGCGCATCTATTGCTCTTTGTTAGACGTAGATCTATTTTAGCTTGTTCTTCGCATCTATTTGTAATGAGAACACCAAGGTACATGTAACTGTCTGTTTCGTCTATTGTTATTTTTCCTATGGTTTTAGTTTGTAATTCCAGCTTTTCAGGATTTTTTCTTAAATGTTTGTTTTTGAGTTGCATGTACTGACTCTTCTTTTCATTTATTCATAGCCCCATTGTTCCTGCCGCGTCTGCCTGCTATGTTTTTAAGTTCTTTTTGGCTTCTCGCTAACAGTACAACATCATCTGCGTATGCTAATGCTTGATGGGATCTGTTGATCAGGGTTCTATATCTGTTTATTCCACTGTTTCTGATGACTATTTCAAGGGTTAAGTTAAAAAGAAGGGTGGATAATGGGTCTCCCTGTCTAAGCCTGTTTTGGAGTTCAAATTCTTCGGTTTCCCCATCTCCTGCTCTTATTGCACACCTTGTATTTTCCAGGGTCATGTTCGTTAGTTTTACAAATTTAAGAGGTATTTTTAGTTCTTTCAAAGGATTTACCAATTTTCGTCGATTTACTGTATCATATGCGCTTTTAAAATCAATAAACATAATATGGGTCGGTATTTCGTATTCGTAGCAACATGTGAGTACCTGTTTTGAAATAAAGATTTGATCAGTCGTTGACCTGCCTTTTCTAATGCCGCATTGGTATTCTCCGATTTTTTCTCCTTCTACTTCTATTCTTCTTTTTATTAACGTGACTAGTACCTTATATGTAGCGTCCAGCAAAGCTATACCTCGATAGTTTTCAGTCTGCTGAGTCCCCTTTCTTATATATTGGCAGTATTACTGCTTTCCTTCAATTTAATGGCATTTCTTCGGCTTTCCATATTTCTTTGATTAGTTGTACTATTTCTGTTATTAGTTGTTGTCCTCCATATTTTAGGTTCGCTGCGGTAATTTTGCTTGATCCGGGGCTTTTATTATTCTTCATATTTGAAATAATTTCTATTATCTCTTCTTCTGTGGGTTCCTCAGCGGTGTACATAGGGTTTTCATTTGCTTCTTCTTCTTCTTCTGCTTCTTCTTCCACTTTTGCCGTTCAGATTCATCTTTCAGTAATTTTTGGAAGTATTGTTTCCAGCTTTGCATTTGCTCGCTTTTTCCTCCTATTAAATTTCCCTCCTTATCCTTGATGTAAATATTTTTTTGGGAGTGTTTTTTTTTGTATACCTTTTACATCTTTATAGAAGTGTTTAATTTCATTTTTTTTGGAATTTTCTTGTATTTCTGCGACATTTTTTTTCTTGGTGAAGCCTTTTCTTATTTCTGCACATTTTTTTAACAGCCTTTCTTTGTTCTATATATTTTTTCCGTCTGTATCGTTCCCTGTTTGTAGGTATTTTTCTCTCAGTTTATGTTTCTTTTTAATTTCTTCATCACATTCGTTATCTAACAATTCTTTTCTTTTCTGCGCTTTTTTCTGATTAATATTTTTCTCAGTTGATTTTTTTATGGCATTCTCTATGTTATTCCATTTCTTCTCTACTATGTTGGGCATGGTTAAAACTGGTGAATTGTCTAACCTCTTTTGACTGCTGCTTCCATCGCCTCCTTCTTTTTTTCCTTCCTCGTTTTGATCGGTGTCTTTCTCTCTGTACAACTCGTCGATTATTATTAACTTATTATATCTTAATTGTGCTTTGTAGCCTTTATTTCTTGTTTCTTTCATTTTTATTACTAGCTTCCTCCTTTCCTCTTGGACTTCCTTTGGGTAGTCTTCATCAATCCATATATTTGTGCCCTTCAGGCTTCTGGTTTTCTGCAAAAGTTTCACGATTATTGGTATTTCCTTTCAATGTTGTACTTGCCCATCCTTCGTACTTCATCTATATCTTCTTTCATTGCGATTTTTACTCCCATCTCTTGTAAAATTATTTTATTCTTTGTTTCCTTCTCATTTTCTTGTTCTTCATCTTCTATTCCTTTTATGATATTTTTTTCCTTATTTCCCTCTCTAGATTGCTTATTCTTTCTTCCTGATATGTCACTTTTTCTTTTAGTTTTCTGTTTTCCTCTCGCATCTGCTTGTTGTCTGCTACTACCATATCTAATTTTCCGTTAATTTCCTTCATATTTACTTCTATCACTTGAAACATCTTTTCTATTTTCCCTATGTCACTCATCTTGGTGTCTGCTGTTGATTGCGCAAAAAGATATACCCCAGTCTTCCCGTCGGAAGTACACCTTTTATCAATCTTCAGCTTTTGTGTAATTTCTTGCTCTTTTTTTAAAAATCTGGCAACACCGCCGTGCAATCTACCGCAGCTTTGTTCTTAGCGACTGTCTTTTCATTTGGGTTTGACCTTTGAAATCATTCACACTTATTGTTTATATTGTTGTTCATCGCTATTTCTATGTTTTTAAATCCGATTTTTCACTTAACGTTGGATTTAAAAAGTATGGTTGTAGAAAAAGTATAGTGTGCAACATGTGCGAAAAGTATTTTCCTATTCGCTTGATTTGCGTTACTCGCCTTACGACTCTGTAACACAATCTGCGCACGCGGTAAAAGTATCACTTTGCGCATTTGCTGGACAAATAACGAAATTAGGTAGTTTGATTTTTAAATCAATAACATGGTTGCTGGTTGCTAATGTTTACATTTAAATAAATATTAAATAAAACGCAATACGAATAAATATCGATTTGTAAAAAAGGGGAAAATATCAATAAATAGATTCTTATAAAAACATATTAATGAAATTGGAGCTCCTTTTTTTGCAAGGTTATCAAGTAGATATTAAAAAATAATCACGAACCAAGATTATGTCTTTTAAATTTTAATAAACAATTTTAATTAGTTCCTTAAAACATTTTCTAGAAGTCTAATGATCAATCATGTATTAGAAAATTTAATACTTTGTCGATCCTAAACAAATAAAAAATAACAACAACCGAAAATAAGAAAAACATTTCTTTCTAGCTTACCTCTACATTTGGGAGATTTACATCAAAATGTTTCATCACAGCTTTGACTGTATCACCAAGACCTGCTGAAAAAACTAAAACGGGTACATCTGCTTGTTGAAGTTGATCAAATAGTTCTTTTGTGCCATCCCTAAAATTGCCATTTACTACATGAAGAATTAAAACTATAAAATATTTATATTTTTAGGTTTACAAATAATGTTATAATGTACTCATAAATATTTTTAACCACATTATTGTTTGTTAAATTTTTAAGTATATGTGACCACTGAACTCCCCACCAGTCAAACGTTATAAGAGCTTGCTGACCTAATCAAAAATGACACAACTTTGCGATATTTAGAGGCAATATAACATATGCGCATTACGAATGGAGAAAATCATATGCATCATTGGTTGCTTATATCAGTGACATCCCAACAATTAGTTTTGGAAAGTTAACGGCCTTTAAACGTATGTACGTTATTTCAAGTAGTGGCCTTTCGTTTGCGGCGTAATTGTCCCGCTTTTTCACTGGCACGCGTCACTCTAAAGTACGAAAATGTCCCACTTTGGACCTAAATACCACCCATTTTGAATATCCAAAGTTATAAATAAAGAAATGTTTGAAGAGGTAAGACCTTTTTTTAGAAGCCCGTGAGAAAAAGGACCTGGTTTATAAGAACATAAGGTGCCGACCTTTTTTTTAGAGGAAGTTCGCGTTTCAAAAATATAAGCTGTTTTTTTTTAAATCTCCATAAAAATAGGACCTGATTATATAAAAATACTGTCGTCACCGTTGTACCGCTTTTCCCTTACGTAAATCTGGTGAAATAAATGACATAAAAACTCACCGAACCTTTCCAAATGATCTCAAGAAATCCCTAAAAGACGCCAGACAAGGATATGAAAACTCTATAGCTGACAGTAAAAACGACAAAAAGTTCTACAAATACATGAGATCGCCATTAGTTTCCAAAGTATCAACCCCTTTACTGCAAAAGCCAGACGGAACTGTGTGTTAAAATAATTCAGAAACTTCTAAAATTTTATATAAAACCATTTCGAGGGGTTTCTCTCTGGAAAATGGGACAGGAAATCGTAAAGTCCCTAAGACCAATAAGTCTTATGTCCTCGTACTTAAGACTTTGGAAAAACTGCTAGATAGGCATATTAGAGACGGGATATTGGTTCAAAGGCCAATATACCAAGACCAATACGCCTATAGTGCAGGGAAATCAACTGAAACAGCTCTCCATCAACTAATAAAAAGGGTGGAGAACACACTGGAAAACAAGGAGGTAATGCTGGGAGCATTCTTGGATATCGAGGGTGCATTTGACAATACCTCCGTTGAATCAATCATTAGATCTCTCAAACACAGAGGAATCGAGGACACATGCGTGTCCTGGATCGACTCTATGTTAAGGGAGAGAACTATACACACAACCCTTATGGGAGCGGCACGGGTAGCGAGAGGATGTCCACAGGGTGGAGTGCTGTCTCCACTCCTGTGGAACCTTGTAGTGGACGGGCTGCTTAGGGCTCTCAAAGATAAGGGACATAGAACCCTGGGATATGCCGATGATCTAGTGATCATGGCACAGGGAAAATACAACACTATAGTAAGAGATCGAATGCAAGAGGCTCTAAATATAGTAACAAAATGGACAGAGGCGGAAGGACTAAACATTAGCCCAAACAAATCTGACATAATTGCATTCACCCGCAGGAGGAAATTGGAGGGACTAGGGCCTCTAAACCTAAGAGGTGCAAGCATCCAGCTTAAGGGGGAGGTAAAATATCTCGGGGTTATGATTGACTCGAGACTTACCTGGAACCAGCATCTAGAAAGAACCACAAGGAAAGCGGAAACCTCATTAATGATGGCAAGGCGATCCTTTGGAAAAAAAATGGGGATTAAAACCAGACATGGTACACTGGCTTTATAACATGGTGGTGAGACCCATAATAACATACGCAGCTTTGGTGTGGTGGCCAAAGACACAGCAAAGGAAAGCAATAACGAGGCTAAGCAAGGTACAAAGACTTGCCTGCCTCGGAATAACGGGGGCAATGAAAACAACCCCCACTGCTGCAATGGAAGCACTAATAGGACTCCCACCTCTTCACTATGTGATACAAGGGGAGGCAAGATTAGGTGCTTACAGATTAGGGAATACACTGGGAAATCTTGACATTAGGCCAGGTCACATGAGTATCTCAAGGTTAGGGACAGGAGACGTGCTAGACATGAGATCAGACCACATAACCAAGAGGTACTCTTTTAATACTCCCTTTGAGGTTTTAATACAGGAAAGAGCGGAGATCACCATAAGGGAGCCCAATGCCCAACGACAGGAACAAACCTGGTCTAAGACTGCGGAAGGCACTGGGGCAGGAGTATTCTCCAAAAACCCTGATACTAACCATAGCTATGCTATAGGAATACATTCCTCGGTATTTCAGGCCGAGGTATACGCAATTTTGCAATGTGCAAAAACGAACAATGAAAGAGCTGTCGAAAATCAGCATATTCAAATAATGTCAGACAGCCAAGCGGCACTTAAGGCCATATCGAGTCAGAAAGTTACGTCGAGGCCGGTATGGGAATGCATCGAAGAACTAAGAACACTGGCAGACCGAAATAGAGTAAAACTATTTTGGGTGCCAGGTCACAAAGGGATCTAAGGCAACGAAAAGGCTGACGAACTTGCAAAAAGAGTGTCAGAAGAAACACCGGAACCAGACACAAACCCAGGAGTACCAAAAAGTACAGTCCGGGGTTTTATAAATGACTGGATTCGGGAACAACATATCAACTATTGGGGAAGCACCCCAAAACAGGCACATGGAAAAGCCTTCATAGGCAGACCATGTCCCAAAAGAACTGGAGAACTACTCTTAATGAATAGGAACCAGTTGAAAGTGATAACAGGGTTCATGACTGGGCACTTGAACAAAATTGGCATGTACAATGGGGAACTCATGTGCCAACTATGTCACAAGAAACCAGAAACGGCCAAACACATACTGTGCGAATGCGAAGCTCTAGATCGCAAAAGAGAGGCTCTTTTTGGACAACCCCAGGTTGATCCAACAACGTATAGAACCCACTCACCCAAGGATCTGTACAAACTTGTACAAGGTACAAAGGTGATAGAGTGAGTGCTATGAACTAACATGGGGTAAAACACAATAAGCCAATAGGCTTCAGTGTTATTCGGAGACACATAGTCAGACGAGCCCAGGAAAAAAAAAACCGAACCTTTCCAAATGATCTCAAGAAATCCCTAAAAGACGCCAGACAAGGATATGAAAACTCTATAGCTGACAGTAAAAACGACAAAAAGTTCTACAAATACATGAGATCGCCATTAGTTTCCAAAGTATCAACCCCTTTACTGCAAAAGCCAGACGGAACTACATATGTGTTAAAATAATTCAGAAACTTCTAAAATTTTATATGAAACCATTTCGAGGGGGTTCTCTCTGGATCATCCACAATTTTCTTTGCCAGCGTGTACCTTACAACACATATTAGAAAGTCTTGAAGACATTAATTGTACACCATATCTTGTTAAAAAACAAATTCTAAAACTTAAAGCAGACGCGTCTCCCTGAATGAACAGTCTGTCTCCATTCTTATTAAAAAAGTTTGTCGATATCATATCCTGTCCCCTGTCTGATATAATGAATTCTTTTCGGCATCACTTAGCACCTATCTGGAAAATAGGCATCAGTTACCCCAATCTTTAAAAAAAGGTAACAAACTCGATCCAAATATCTATCGACCCATTATTACAGAAGCACTTCTAAAGTTCTTATCTGATAATAAAGTAATCCCAACTGAGCAACATGGTTTCGTGAAATAGAAGTCTACCATGACCAATTTGTTACAATGTCTTATTGATTGGACCAAAGCTTTAGACGACAAATTTCCAACAGGTGTAATATATTTAGACTTTTCCAAATTATTCGATCGGGTACCACACAGAAGGTTATTACACAAATTGGAGAGAACAGTGGGGTCCAGGATCTCTGAACAAGTGGATTAGTCAATTTTTGTCCAAGTGGGTGAATCGTTCTCTAGTAAGAAACCAGTATTAAGTGGAGTTTCCTAGGGTTCTGTTTTAGGACCTCTGCTTTTTGTGGCTTACACAAGTAACCTACAATATCTTATCAAGAGCAACATGACTTTCTATGCTCATGACACCAAACTCTACTCAGATCCTACCTCAAGCTCGTGTTATCTTCAGCACGATCTCAACTCTATTGTTAAAAGGTCTACTGACTGGCTGTTACCATTAAATATAGAAAAGTGTGTAGTTATGCATATTGCTATAAACAATCCAAGACTGACATAAAACATTAATAATTCCGTTATAATGACTTGGGCGTTATTATAAACTCATATTTAACTTGGACAGAACACATTTCCAACCATCTGTAAACGCGCGAACAGCAAATTATACTTGTTAAAAAATCTTTTCAAAAGATTCCTTTCAGTCGCCAATCAAACTCTACAGATCACCTATTATAGAATATTGTGGAACTATTTGGAATTCAGATCTTGTCAGAAAAAAAAACACTGTTAGAAAATGTACATCTTATTCCGAAAGGCTCGAGATGGCAAGCATGAACAACTATGATAAACGCCGTCTACGCGGTGACTTTATTCTGACATTTAGAATTCTAAAATATAATTACGGAAACCTGAGAGATATGTACATACTTAACAATGATAATCGACTGAAAGGACATCCTTACAAATTAAAAATTGGAAAATTCAAATGCAATTCTAGAAAATCTTTTATATAATAGAATATTTCACACGTTGAATAGCTTACAGCCTAGATAAATTTCTACAGGGTTAAAAATTGGTATCTGGACCTATGGGTCTTGCTAGACCTCATTCCTTATTGTATTTATAATAATAATAACCCTACTTTCGGTAGTGCAAGTCTGCAATTAGACTTTTTGTTACAACGGGCAGCAGAGGGCCGTCGTCACTTTACCAGCAATAAAGTGAAAGGCCTTCACATGTGCAATCTAAGGGATGGTATGATATATCAGGAAAAGGTTTATAGAAGCCAATCTCAAAAGGAAGGAGACTTGTGATTGTACATACAGGTGGAGAAAAAGGATTTA